AAGTCATGGCTATTAAATATAAACGTAAGTAATTTATTGTTTAGCAGTGATTCTTTCAGAAGAAAAAAAAAAAAACTAGAAAGGAATGATATATAAGAAGAAATCACAAACCCCATCTGAAATCTTTTTCTAGCAAAAATATGATAGAAATTGCATATATCTACGAATAAAAAGGTTTTGATGAAAAATAACATAAGTGAGTGCCACATCACGTGACAAGTCTAAATAGAAAATCAAATCTAATCATACTCCATATGTAGTTAATAACCATAATTACATTTGTCCGATATTCGTAAAGGACTAGAAAGAATCGCCATCCTGATTAAAAATATATTTTCTATCGCAAGAAATAGCCGATATTTCCTTTGGGCACCCTAACTGTACTGTGTACGGAATCAAAGACTTTTGTCATAGAGAGTTTTGAGATATTCTGAGACTATGCTTTCCACAGCTCCCATATAAAAGTTGAAGTCAATACAGAAAATGGCTTTTATCCTTACATTTAAAGGACAAAAACACAACTTATACACTTGTACGGACTGTTGCAACATATGCCTAAAAATGCCTAACTTAGAAGATTTAAAAAAAAATCTTAGTATACGATATCGGTAAAAGAAATAAAAGCTTGAACAAAACAGAAATAAATAGATAGAGAAGATTACATATATATAGAAAATTAAAAATTTGTCCTTGCTCATCTCATTTCCCTCTTTAAATTATTATTAAGTTTTAGGTTCATTAACATGTAAACAGATTCGCGTCCTACAGTGAGCTCGACCTCTTGGTGAACTTTCCGGTGTATGAAGTATGTAAAATACGTAAATTACGGATGTAGATTTTATTTTCATTAAGTTCAAGAAAGTACAGTATACTTCCAAGCATCAGATACTTCCTACAAAGAAAGGTCGTACCGGTGATGTGTGGGAAGCCGAGTAATTATAGGGATTAAACTCATGTTCATAGTTTGTTAAAATATCAAAAAAAATTTTTAGCAATCTTAACTGCTTTCTAAGTTCTTTTTATTGCAAGAATTTATAAAATTGAATAGAAATAAAACTGATATAGTTATAAATATAAGTAGAAAATTCAATACCAAGTCTTTCCTGTAGTATTTTTTTTTTACTTATTTGTATTATAACCCTATGGAAACTCAAACAGAAAAACTACTAAACTCTGCTAATATGAAAAATACTAAAAAAAATATCAACCGACATCAATTATATTCTTCTGTACTATTTATGTACCAAGAACTTCAAATAGATAATTTATGAAATCTCTAAGTGATTTTTAATGCAGACATTCAATTCATCTAATGTGGTTGTGCTCGATCGTATTGATGAACAACAAAGTGACTCATAGGGAGATTCTATCATGGGATTATGCATTATTGGGTATGTAATTATTTTATCGTACCAGATTTACTTGTAGAACGAAATATCAGAGGACAGCGTATATAGCAAATGAATGTCTAGTTCCTTGTTGTTAATAAAAAATAACATTCTTTGAGCTTCGTATTGTATGGTTATAAATTACCGGAGGAAAGCGGGAAGAAACACGTGTAAAGAAAATTTTAGAAACATAATATTGTTTAAAAACTTGTCAAAACAGCTTACTTTAATTAAAAATTTAGGATAGACGATTTTGACTTACGAAATGCCAGTTAATCTGGTGATTTAATCAATTTGCCATAGGGTGAATTCACCATGCATCGGGCACCCTCGCACTTCAGCAAGTTCTAGCGATATCGCTACCGACCGAATATTATCTAAATGGAACTTAACATGTAGTATGTGTTTAAAATATAAATTTTTTTGACACAGTCGTGTGCTATTTATTAAGAAAATATCATTAAAACCCGATTTTTTCGAAACAAGTCAGAATTCACCATGGATCGGACAATATTCACCATGCATCGGACATGCGGTATTTAAACCAGAAAATATCATACCTTGACCTTGTGCTTTAAAATTAGTGATATCGAAATATTTTTATCCTTTATTAAAAAATTAAACTTCTAGTTAGATTTGAATGACTATTTCGATCCACAAATTTGAAGAGATTTTAGATGCAACACATGGCCTTAGAAAAGCTTTTCAATGCTAGTAATATGGCAACTCGCGCCTTTGTCTCGTGGGTTATCATCATCTAGTTTAAAGAAATAAATTGAGTCCACTTCTAGTCATCATATATCGATGTCTTGTATTTTCACTTAAAATTTAAAGTTTTTGTTTTCTATTTCCATAAAAAAACAGCTGTCATTGGGTTTTATATGAAAATGGAAGCGATTACCCATGCATCGGAAAGTGTCCGATGCATGGTTAATTTGTGTCCGATGTACGGTGAAATAAACATACTAGTAAAAATCAACTCTAAAAAATAATATACAAACATTGAAGTAATTTTTTAAAAAAGTTTCTGTAAAATTATCAATCATTGACAAATTTTACCTAGGCCCGACTCGTTCCGTTGAAGTCTATTTAAAAGAACAACTTTAAAATTTGAAAAATTGTAAAATTCTCGTTACTCCCCTTTGATGATGCAAAATATGACGTAATTTCAAGGCCATTCTTGTGGTATTTTTATCACAACATGAAAATAAAACTCGGCGTCATTAAAAAGTTTAAATCTTCACCTTTAAGACAGAAACATGTAAAAACACGGGAAGACTCAGGTTAAACGAAAGTTTATTGCTTAAAGTTGTCCGAAGCAAGGCATGTGTCCGATGCATGGTTAACTCACCCTAATTTGTTTCAGAATCATCAATTTTAAGATCAAATTAAACAAGAATATGTTTTAAGCGTTTTTAGAATGTGAAAATATATATAAAAATACAAAAAAGTAAATTTGTTTAATAACTCACTTCCAATTTTTAGGCCACCTGAATCACTTAGGTGAGCTGTCGCTGCCTGTTTTTGTCCGCCGTCGTGCGGATGTGCATCGTTTACCGTGTGTAAACATTTCATCTTTTTAACTACTACTCAGGAACAATTGTTCCAATTTCAACCAAACTTGTCACAAAGAATCCTTGGATGAAGGGATTGAGGTTTCTTGAAATGAAGGACAATGCCTTCTTCCAAGGGTTGATAATTAAGGAAAAGGAAAAGATAAGCTACTTGGGCTATTATTGGGTAAAAAATCTTTTTTTCAAGAACCACTGAGCCAGAAAAGTCGAAGTGTATAAGAAAGCTTCCTGACAAGTGTAGATTCAAAACATTTTTAAAAGATATCTTACTCATTAGGTTTTGAAAACGAGTTAGGGTCAATATAAGTAAATTTTAAAACTATCAACTACAATTTAATTTTTACATTATTCGAATTACACAATACAAATTGTGCGACATACAATTAAAAACCTTGATATATTAAAATAATGTTTATACCTATAAAGAATTTAAATTCTAGAAATATAACATTTTATTAGTGCAAAAATGTCATACAATAATCTACTATATTAAATTGGACTTTTTAAATGAAATATTTTATTAAATCTATTTTATGGAAGTTAAAAATTAGCTAAAAACATGTATAAATGGTAAACATTGTAATCCTAAGCAGAAACGTCGGTCAGTAAGCAGTTGAATTTTATTTGCATGTCTTTAATTTATTTCATTATCAACAAAAGCCCTGTATCACATGTTTATTTAAACCTTTCTATCGCACTTTTATCGAAATTGTCGTACAAAAGAGAATCCACAGCGGTTGTTATTCTTAAATACGCTGAAACTTTTTCTTAAATGGGTAACCAGAGGATTATAAACAAACACAACAAAACACGTCAAAATAGCGTTACTCTAAAATCGTCTACTAATAATCTTTATAAAGAAGTTGTAATGAATGGTAATATACACATCTATAACAAAAATTTATGCATTTAAAAAGAACTTTTAACTTAGAAAATGAGTTGAAAGATTGATAAAAAATAATTTCAATGTTTAAGCATTAACGAAATTATTCTTATGAGCATAATTGTCGTCTAACTACCCCGTTTTCTCAACACATCACCGGATATGACCTTTCTTGGTGAAAGCATCCAATGCTTAGGGGTATAGTGTACTTTCTTATTCCATGGTAAATGAGCATCCAAAAGCATTCTATGCTTAACTGATATACTTGAAAGTTCAGCAAAGGGTCGGGTTTGACAAAATTAAGCCTGTCACTTGCCTTTTTTTGGCGTGTTCTGCATCATATTATGCGATAAGCGTATAGGGAATCAAGCAGAAGTTTGTTCGGATCTCAAGTAAGTTTTTATTTTTCATATTTTTATATCCTTTGCCATAAAAAAATAAATAATGTTCTGTTATTATAAGCGTTGTTAATGTTGCTAATAAATATTTACTTACATTTATTTGTTCACTTTTTTTTTTCTTTTTTAGAAAAGGATATTTTAAATTCACATTACAAACACTAAAACATGTCCGTATAGCGGATCATATAGTACCTTTTGCTTGAGCTGTCTGGCATTTATTCGTTTCTTATCATTGAATTCTTTTCCTTCATATTTAACAAAAAATTACTTCACTACAGGTTTCACATTTTGGTAACGATAATGAAAAAGGAGAGTGTCTTCGTCTTTGGAGCACATCTAGGTAGGACGAGTTCTCAAATTAATTAATACAAATAAAGAAGAAACGCTCTCTTAACCAAGCTAAATTCAAGTTCAATAAAAAAAAATAAGGCAATTAATAACTGAAAATTCGAAAAAGAATTATATTTAGAAATTTGGTATTGTACAAATTTTTCAATATTTTTTCAGTAAAAGAAAATTTATTGGAGAATCAAGATTAAATGGAAAATATTTTTCAAAAATTCATTTTTCATCTCGAATGTATCATTTCCAATAGTTTAGCCATACCAAAATGTTCCTCCCTTTGACTCTGAACAACTTGATATTTTTCAAACGTCATAGAAAATGGAATTTATGTGTTTTGGATTATGTTATTTAAGTTATAATATGGATTTTTATAAGATCAATACCGTACTGGAATTATATATCGTTTTAGTTGTACTCCTATGGCAGCTACAGCCTGGCCACACCCAGTACACATCAGACTTAGAAGCCACGCTACTGAGTGATCTGTTCAGCGGAAATTACTCCACACTAGTCCGTCCATCAGCCGTCGTCACCGTTAATGTGAGCTTCATGCTGTATACTATCAATGATTTGGTATGTGTCCATTCAACAACAGTGGTTTATCTTTGTTAAAATAAAAAAAAAAAAAATAATTTAAATGTTAAACTTACAAACTCACTAGACAAATCAATCGCTCTCAAAAGGTGAACTCAAAATAATATGTCGTCTCGGTATACCCCAATAAAAAAACGGCATCGGTAATATATTTCAATATTTGGGCGTTTTACTGACTCTCACTCATTTTGCAAGTTCCATGCAAGCACACGACGGGTACGTGTTACTGGCCGACAGGGGATGGTTACTCCTCCATATCACCTTATCCCACCTCTGATGCTTTTTAAAGCTCTGTGTTTGCTCTGATCCCGATTTGAATTGTTTCAGTGGACGTTTGAGCGTGATTACTGTTCGTTATACATTTTTCACGATAATGGTTAACAAGTACAATTAATCACAAACTGGATTACTTCAGCTCTCTATCGCCTTCCCCAATTTTTATTGTAATATTACAATAACAAACACCTGCATATGGTACTTATGTCTCTCAACTGATTCTATACGCAAGAGCATGTTCTTAGTAAAATCGAACCAAGGGAGTCTACTGACAAATAAATTGATGTTACAGGACTTCTAACAATCTTGATAAAAGTGAATATTTTGAAAGGCCATGACCTAATTTGCGTATACAGCCTACTATTTGGTCGTATATTGATGGATGTGTTTCATAGCAAGTGTTAAGCCTTTGATTATATTAACTGTCTATGGATTTATCCGGATTAATTCATTTACATGATCAATACAGAGATCTCACGGCTGGTGTGACAGAGGATGCTTACTTCTCCAAGGCACTCGATCCTACCTTAGATGTTTCCAGGGGTCTTTGTTTTGTCCTGTATATGATTCCTATTGTTATCAGGATTTATCACTATTTTCTTTATAAAAACCGATTATATACGAGGTATACTAGCATATGAACTGAAGGAGGAAATAAACACAAGTAGAGTCAGCAGTTCACAGTAATTCTAACAATTTGTAGAACTGGCTATGTATATATTATCCTATGTTCTTAAAATAATGACCTCTTTAAACAGTTGAAAAAGGTGATGAAGGTCTCTCTCTCTCTCTCTCTCTCTCTCTCTCTATATATATATATATATTAGGGATGGCAATCGAATACAAAATCGCTAATCGGTTAACCGCAAGACGTTCCGACCGATTAACCGGTTAATCGTATCAAATATACGTTTTCCTGACCTCTTTTTTCAAGTAAGCTCTATTTATATATTACGCAAGAAAATATTAAAAAAAAAAAAAAAAAAAAAAAAAAAAAAAAAAAAAAAAGCTTAGTAATATTTTGTATATGCTTGATCACTACACTTTATATGCTATATTTCAATTTCAATAGAAAAAAAAGAAAACCATGAAAATCCATCTGATATTTAAGACTGATGATTTTTCAGACCAGATGTTACGCAAGATCATTTTGCATTTTCACAATAAACAGAAAAAGAGACCGAACTAACACTTAATTTGCAATGTTTGTTTAAAAATATAATTTGGCAGATAACTCCAGAAGATAGACGGGTAAGATACACATAGTAATAAGTAGGGATGGCAACGAATATTCGAACATTCGAATATTCATTCGATGAGTTGATATTCGAATATGAATTTAAGATTCGAATATTCGGTGTTTTTCAGATTTCATAAATAGAAGTACTGTGATTAATAAATTTTGATTAGAACAGTGCTGGAATTATCCCTATTTAAATTTACTAGCGATCAATTTCGATCGCCTGATTTCTTTCAATATACTTTCTTATCTTATAGATCTATTAAATTATATGTATTTTGTTTTGAGTAAGGTGTAAAGAATTGTACAATAATGCTTTATGTATAGTACAAAACGTACTTTCATGGTTTTTATTAGATACGATCGGATCTGGAATCGAGGACAACAAAATGAAATCTTATAATGTTTAAAAGGCGTGAAAAGTATATATACTTATCAAATTAAAATTAATTGATCATTGAATGAATGTCCGATAGAATTAGTCTGTAATTAATATTGTAAAGGGCTTAATTTCAGATAAATGTGTAAATTACTTGATTATCTCGGGTTGTACATAATCCTGAATTTTATATTCATTATCGGGAAATTAGTTAAATACCTAGAAAAATTGTCTATGGAAATATTTGTTTACATTCTATCAAAGATTATAATCATATCTCTTATTAGGCAGATAATTGTAATTTATTACACGTATTGAAATCTGAACAGTATACCGTAACGACTATCTTGCCTTTTGTAAGACGCCTCAGTTGGAGCTACTATAAATACACATGTTTCATTTGTTAAAATTATACTTTTCTACATTTAAATCAATTATTTAATTTGTTTCAAACATTGGCAAATATCGAATGGAATTTCTTATTGTACACCTACAAAAGGTTCCGTACTGTTTTTCTTCCAATATAAGTATACCTACTCTAAACCTTTCATGTGAGTAGGATGATGCATATTTAAAATAAAACAGATTTTATTTATTTTATCGAATATTCGAATATATTCGAATACTTTCATTGAATATTCGAATATGAATTATTGACAAAATTGACATCCCTAGTAATAAGTTCACAGTACTTAAAAGTAATTTTAATTAACTAATATCATTAAAGAGGTAACAGGACATGTAGTTTAACAGCATGTTGTTTAAACAGCAATTAACATTTCACAAACTGACCAATTATCCCCAACGACCTCAATTCGGAGAGCCTAAATTAATTACCTTCAAGTAGGCTGAAATAAATGTGGAAAACTTATCAACATTCAAAGTTGTTGTTTTTTTTACCTTGAAAATTTATTTCTAAGGAAGTTTACACATATATAATTTTTTCCGACTAACCGATTACAGATTTGCCAACCGATTACCATCGTTTCGACCGAGTAATCGGTTAACCGGTAAATTGCCATCCCTAATATATATATATAAACGTTACACGTTACTCTTCATGATTTACATTACTCTTTCAGGAGCCATGAGTTAATAAGGTTTAATAGAGTGTTTATGAAAGAGTTGAAGATATAGGTATATGTCACAAGAAATCATTTTATGACAATTTTTCCGTCATATCTTGGCTATTATAGAAGAGCACATGAAATGAAACATTGAAGGAATAGCATGGAAATAACGTCACTTTTATTGGATATGTTGTCAACATTGGTCTGACTGATCCACAAAGATAAATAGACTTGCATTTGATTTTTTTAAAAATTTTATTGTTTAAAAAAAGACACATTCATGAACTTCGATTAATAATTCATTTTTTCCAAAATTTTTGCACCAAATTCATTAATATACGCACAATGGATCATATCTTAAAAAGATAATTTTCACTACAGAATAATGTTCTTAATTTTCCAAAACGCCTATACCTTTTATTAGCTTACATGAGCCAAAGGCTACATTGGCGATCACTGTTTTACATAGGACTGTATAGAAAAAATCTTCTCAAAAACAGGAAAGTCATGACAATTCATATTTATATTGAAAATCCTCAGGTAGTGTACATTCAATTTTGTTCAACTCATGACCCTTTGCGGTAGGGTGGAGCCACAATGGCCAATCAAAGTTTTACAAAGGAATATATTGGATGAATCTGTAAAAATCTTCTCAAGTATAGCAAAGCCATGATTAATCATATTAATATGGAAGCATCCTCAGGTAGTGTAGATTCAGGCTTGTTCAAATCATGACCCCCAGGATAGGACGAGGTCATACTAAATCAAACTTTCACATAGGATTATTAAGAGAAAATTTTTTGAAGCCATGATTAGTCATATAAATCAGGAAGCATCCTTAATCAGTTTAGATTCCAGTTTGTTTTAATCAGGCTCCCTCCCCTACCCCTCCTGAGTGTGAGATAGGGCGTGAAAACTTAAATATATAAAGTTATAAATACTGAACTGATTTCTGCTTTTCCCTAGCCAAAATTCGTAAGTGAGTTATTTGGCAACAATGGGTCTATTATTAGGAATGGTATCTAACATCCGTACTAGTTATGAAAAATTTATTCTTTTACAGAACATTGTTGATCAAACACTTTCTGTGTCCGGAATGCTGACCATGGTAGGTAAATATGAAAAATATAATTAATGAAATAAAATAGTGGGGGAAAAAACTGGGCATGTGAAATTAAATTAATTCTACTTTATTTTATTTTAATTTCTGGTTTTAGTGCAATATTTATTTAAATTCATTTTTTTTTTTTTACATTTCTACGTTATTTGTAAAATGAAATATTATTGGAAAACGTTAAAATGATATTGACAGAAATGGTGTAATACAGATAAATAAAATCAATATGAATCACATGAGTTTTCTATTTAATGAATTTAAGATCATGTATTTTTTTTTTTTTTTGCTATAGAATTGGTTGGATCCTCGACTAGTATGGGCGAATGATTCCGATTATTCATCAGTTTTATTTCTGTTTAATACGGAGGAAAACACATGGACTCCAGCAATATACGTAGAGAATTCGTAAGAAAATATTGCTTATTAAATTGTAGTCTGAAATCCATGAAATATATGGAGACAACGAACAGTATTCAATCTCAAATGTCCATTAAACAATACAAATTTTGGAGCAGAGAAAACACGGACCTCTAAAACATCAGAGGTGGGATCAGGTGCCATTTAGGAGTGAGCACCCCCTGCCAACCGGTCACACCCGCCGTGTGCTCCTTTTTGATGATCAGAAAATAGCGGGAAAAAAATCCATCAACAATTCAGTTTAGTATGAAAAACGTCAGTCAGCATTTGACATAATGATAGATTGTATTTGCTGACAAGGTCATTGTATCGACCACAGAACTTACGAAATGACGATTTTAAACGAAACTGTCGATATTCTTGTTTCATCAACTTGTTTTTCAATAACTTACTTTGTTTTAGAAATTGTTCATATGTAGAGCATGTTCTTGTATATCGAATCAACTGAGAGATATAAACCTCGTATGTAAGTGATAAAGGTATATTGCTGCGTAAGTAAGGGAAGTTGACGATTGAAAATTTAAAGTCATCACGTGTATCATAAAGCTTTGTTGTTAGATTACCATTAATGTCTTTTTTCCAGTTAAATATCCAAATCTGAAACAGATATGTCAGACTCTGTGGTATCTTTTACTTCAAGCTCACTTGGATATATCGTATCTTTATATATAAAAGATGTAAGAATATCGTATATAAGAATGGAAAAAAAAACTTTGTTAATTGACAATACGTCGTCGACATATCTAAATGTCGAGCTGAAGGCACAGAAAGTGTTTTCTTCTTTTCACGTATAAGATTTTGAACAAATTCATATGAATACAAAAATAGGTCTGCTAATAACGGGGCGCAATTGGTACCCATGGAAATTCCAATAGATTGTTGGAAGACCTGGTCTCCAAAATCCACAAAGATATTGTCAATCAGAAACTCAAGCTTCTTTATAATATCAACTTCAGAGTACTTGTATGTACGATCAGAATGTTTTTGAATAAAATTATTTTGGAAATGACCAATGACAAGGTAAGTAAATTTAGTAAATTAACGAGTTCATTTTTATTGAAAAAGCAGCTGTCAATGGAATAAAAAAGTTTGGACTTTAATTTATCGTGAGGAATGGTTGTCTTTAAAGTTGAAAAGTCTTAAGATTTTATGCTGTTGATTTTGATAAAATTTTTTGTTTACAAATTTTCAAAAAGTTCCTTTGAATTTTTAAGTATTTACATCTGATTTACACTACTTCTTGAATGTATTGTTGCGCAGTACTTCTGAAGTTTCTCATTCACTACTGTTAATATTTTAGGAGTAAAGAAAGAGGCTTGAAAGAGCAATTACTGGAAACCGCTATGTATCTTCGTTTGTAAGGTTCTTTTATGAAGTTTCGGAATCCAGTATAGACATGGTCAGAATCAGAATCAGAAAATTTTATTTAAAGTCGGATTTTCAAACAAATAATATAAGCTCTGTAGAGCTTTTGACCGACATGATTAGTAAGACATATACTTATACATAAAACAAATAAATGACAATATACACATTTATAAACATAGTTAAAATTTCAATGGCATGTAGCACAACAGACATAATTTACACGCACAAAAACACACACAAATACACAACAACAATCAACACATATAGCATGCATTTACATATAGGACAATACATAGAAAGATACATAGAAATAAATATGAGTGAACGGTCAAAATAGCACTTATACTCCAAAAAGGATAGTCTATAATTTATATTATTGTATAAAATATGAGATAGTACTTTCGCTGAATTGAAAAAGTTATACTTTATAATATCATGATTTTATAATAAATTTACTCATTAAAATCAACAAACATAAAAAACAAAAGAAACAGAAAATTTCTAATGTCTTCTGGGAGTTCATTCCAGAGTTTGGTTCCTGCATATCTAAAAGAGTGTAGACCATGTTTAGTAGTTCTTACCCTAGGTACCTGCACTGTATTACTTTTCCTAAAATGAGATGATGTTTCTTTAAAAGTAAATAGATCAGACAGATAAGCTGGGCTTTCATTTTTTTAAATTTTAAAAGTTCTGTAGCCATTGTTTTTAAAGTTGGTAGTTCTGACTTAAGTAATAATTCTTCGTGAGTACTGTTTCCATCATCGTAAATAAATCTGAGAGCCCTTTCTTGAATTTTTTCAATTTTTCTTGTGTTATTTTCTCCAAAGAAATGCCATACAACAGGACATTAATTAAAATTACTCATTATAAAAGTATAATAGATAGTTAAGTTGCCCAGTTTGGTTAGGTGTTTACCTATGCGTTTTAATACATTGTCTTGCTGCTGTTTTGCATATTTTGGAAGTATGGCTATTAATTGTCACACCCAGGAGCTTAACCTCTTCCTCACATTTTATATTGATACCATCCAAGTTGATAGTGACGTTTTCTTTACAGGTTTTATTTCCTATTGAGGGTGCCTGAAATTTTTCTGCATTTGCATTCATGTTGCTTGAGAACCAATGTATTAGATTAAGGTTTTCTTCTTCTAAAACTTTAATAACTTTGCTTAAAATGGTATTTCAAATTCTTGTTGGTGGTTGGGAATATTAAAAATATTTAAACTGACATATGATTTTGAAGAATTTCCTCCTTAGAAAGGGAACTATTGGTATAAGTCGGATTACCACTTGTTGAATTAAATTCAAGTTCCTCTAAAATACATGTTAAATAATGAATTATGCCTTAAAAAGACAGTGTTGTTACCTACTTTGTCAGCAGGAACCAGTACATTCTGATCGTGTAATCTAGCTATTTCTTTTTTCTCTTCTGAATTACTGAACACAGAAGGCTAGTAAGTTTTCATTTTGTCCCTCAATCGCTTAATAGGAGATTTTAACAAATATCTGATACATTTAATCTATTCTGACAACGCATCAAGGTCTTCTTTTTCATGTCTGGTCCATCGCCATTCCACAGAATCCATAATATTTATGAAACAATGACGCCAGTTAAAAGATCAGGGTTCCCTAAATTTGGAAATTAATGATTTAAGGTCCTTATTATTAACTATATTTGCGTAACCAGTAATAACGTGTCCAGTAGGACTATAGTCGTAGGGTGAAGAAAAACCTGAACAGGGAGCAGGATTACGTTTCAGATATTCGATATCTAGGCTCTGTAAAGTTTTCTTCTAATTAAAAAGTTTGGATGCAATAGTCGATGTATATTTGTAGGAAAAACAAGGTGTAGTCTTCAACTTGAAATATGGTGGAATACAAGACTGGACCCTTTTGTGATTAAGAATATTACTCATATTAACTGTGTCAATTTCTTTGTTGGCATATTGGAATTTAAGGAAAAACGGGTTGTTTTAACTGCATTTTCTTCTGTAAAACATGGTGGTTTAAACAGCCGATGATTTGCAATATCCATAACCATGATTTTTGGTGTTGAGGAATAAAAAATGGACTTTCACTTGACCTTTTCAAGTAGACTATTTAAAACTTTCAAACAGACAAAGTAAAGTTTGGTGCGAATGTGATGAAGATCTAACTGTTGATTTACATAAGGTAGTAATGAATCAAAATATGGATTTATACGTTTTGTAAGATCTTGCCCTTGCCTTCAAAAAATAAGTCATACATTTGAATTTTCCTGAATGGAAGTAATATTGTCATTTGATGACAGGAATACATATTATTTAATGTAAGACTTTTTCCAAAACATTTCCATAATTTTTTTTCCCAAAACAATTCCATAATTTTTTTAAGACATCCTTTTTGTCGTTAACATGCTCCAATGTCATGTTATAAACAATAAAATCTACACTGTATGTGAATGTTCGTACTTTGACAATTTAATGTTTACATACTTGGGAAAATAAGTTAAGACCGCGGAACATTAACTGGCAAAATTGGAAATATTTCCATCTGTTACAGGCAAAACATTTATGATAGACAATGAAATGGGCGGGTACAATTCGACACGGACGTCCATGAAAACATTGGATTGAAATTCTTGTTTGAAGTTCATTTTCAATCTAACTGAGGTGTTTCAAACGCAAAGTGTGAATGTATGATTCAAAAGACAATGAATTCAATTCCCAAATACATGTTGTTTGAAATTCAAATTTATATGAGTTTTTTAGCCTATAATTTTAGGGACACGTAAAAGTCATAGAAGACAGAGATTATTTTTTCAGGGGACGGCCATTTGATTCTAGATTAGAAAGGGGGGGGGGGCGGGGTCAAAAATTGTGAAGTCAGATCATGCCTCCACATGACAAAATATATTTAATTCTAGGATGACAAGAGCTATTTTCTTTAGTTTTGTCTTCACTGAAAAATGTTTGACTATTTAAAAACAGGGAGGGGTTGTCCAAACTAAAAAAAAAAAAAAAAAAACTTTCTTTTTTATTTCCAAGATCGTACAGCCTCGCCCTCCCCCAACACACACATGCAGTGGTCACGATTCGAAATAATTTTAACATCTGTGCTTTACATGACTTTTTCGTTCGCGAGAACTTTATCTTAGCGTAGTTATGCGAGCTGGTTGCTCGTAAAAATTTAATTCCCGCGTATATTTATAGTACTGAAGATTATATAGAACAATAATCGAAGTTCGTAAAAGATGTTTGTTTATAGTTACAAATCACCATCTCACAAAATAAGGCGTAGCGAAAATTTGTATATGTGCAGGTGAAGATAATTCATTTAAAAAAATATCAACTAACTGCGTCATTTATTAAAAAAAAATTAATTGGCATCACTTTTCATTTTAGTGTGGAAGATTTAGCAGTCATCAACGATGAAAATATGCCAATGAGAATTATGCCAAATGGTGAAGTAAGTCGAACTCCAGCAGGGGTATTTCAAGTGTCCTGTGAAAGTGACGTCACATATTATCCCTTTGACAAACAGACTTGCAACATCAAAATAACAACTTCAGGCTATACTCAGGGAGAAATTGACCTCAACTTCAATGAAAACGCAGTGGATCTTTCTGCGTATGTCACGAATGGAGAATGGGAAATTGTTTCTGCTGGTGGATTGTCTACAGGGGGACAGTCAAGAACCAGGAACGGGCTAACATTTGCAAGCTTATCGTTTCAATTTGTATTGAAAAGACGTTATGTATTTCACACAATTAACACCATATTCCCCGTTTTTTTGATGGGCATACTCATTCCTTTTGTGTTTAAGCTGGAAGAGATAGCGGATAAAATTGGATATTCTTTAACAGTACTGTTGTCATACGCTGTATATCTAACCGTGATTGCTGACCATATACCTAGCACTTCTGTGGCTGTGTGTTACCTTTGTAAGCTGAAGTAACATCAATTTTTTATACCCATTTTTGAATATTTATTGGAAAAAAAATAAATTCTAATGGAATTACAATGAAATTGAGGGATTAAACCTATAAATGTACCATTTTTCAAATGAATATGAATAGCAATTTTTCACAACACCTGAACTTGTTTATCTAAAGAAATTTGAAAAATTTTATATATATATATATATATATATATATATATATATATATATATATATATATATATATATATATATATATATATATATATATATATATATATTTAAAATTTTTCACAAAATTAGCTCTATCACAATTGACAAGAATATCATTATATTTCTCTTGCAGCCGTATATTTGGCGGTTGTTCTGTCAACATCAACCTTATCCATCCTGATCGTTATTATGGGATCTCATGGGTCAACGACCAAAGAAAAGCTGTCTCCATGTACAAAGGCCTTTGCATACTTTCTTGCTAAACTTTCCTGCCAAAGACGCTCTTGTTGTCGTAATAAAACCGACACTGCTCCTGAAGGAAGAACTAATGAGTTTTACATAAACCGTCATGGAACACTATCGTCCAAAGAGTTCAGACCAGAAAGCATGAAAAATTCACATGATTATGGTAGAAATGAGGAAATTACACGAGAAGAATTTGCAGGTCTTATGGACAAATTTTTCTTTTTTCTTTTCTTCCTGTTTATAATCATCGCGTCTCTGACGCTGTTCGTTACCTTGGGTATTAAGTACCAAACTTATTAATCTTGTGTATTCCTGTATATAAACAGGTGAATATCAGTAACTCGAACATTGGAAATCTCGAATACCTCGCTAATGCAGAAGTCGATTGCATGTCCTGGCCGTGTTCTCTATTAACAGGATTTTCAAAAACTCCTAATATCTCGAGTACTCCACTCTAGAAGTAAGAAAACTTTTCCAATCAGTTGAACATATCTTGTATCGCAACTTCAGACATTTTCAGGGGCGGCTTTTCACGCCTTCTAAAACCAGAATGTTTGCTACACCCCTAACTAACCCCAAGCTAATACACGAAATGGTTATTGACATGACAACCTGGGTTTTTAAGGCAGTAAGCGACCGATAAAACAAATCAGTTTACATGTAATAGATTTTCACAAGTTCGCCTGACTAAAGCAACAAATATCTATAGATCATATACGTTTTCTTCGAATTTTTTTTTTTGTTTTTGTTTTTGATGAGAAGGGAGTTGGTCAAAACATTTTACTACCGTACATTTTAAATACTTTATACAAAACATCATATTTTTTTAAAAGTTTAAATTGTTTGCGACTCATCAGAATCAAAGACGCGTCTCTGATGCCTGACTTTGGAAAGTGAACAAAATTTATGTAAATATATTCTATTCTGCACCTTCCACTGCACGTGCTACATCCCGTTTAAGCTAGGGAGTCAATCGTAAACCAAGTTAAGCAATCACTGGTAAGTATTCAGTTTTTAAAATAAAATATACATAAAAGATAAACAACGTTTGTGCCAATATTCTTGAATGGCCACAACGGAAGACTAAATGACTGGTAGTGCAAATGAATGTTATAAATGTTTTTTTTTTTTTCATTTTGTTAATTTTTCATTTTGTTAATAAAAACTTTTCTTTAAATGGTATGAACAAGAAACTGAAATTACTATCGCACCTGCAGCAGAAAAAAACCACTCGATTGTTTATGCGTAATTTGAAGACAGCTTCGGATACTTTTGAATACATCCCTGGGTATGTCGAAGTTTTGCTCCCTTACTTCGAGATTCTGATATTCTACTGTATATATATATATATATATATATATATATATATATATATATATATATATATATATATATATATATATATATATATATATATATATATATATATATATATATAAAAGATCATGTGGATGACTTGTAGAAACCTGTAAATCATTAAAGTCTTTATATACAGTATAAAAGTTGTTTTTTTTTTTACTTGTTTCTTAAGACTAAAATATTGCTAAAGTATGGATTATAACTCTCAAATATGTTGAATAGTAGGAGCTGTTTGAAGGAAAGACTCATTTATTTGACATGTAAAAAGTTACAACGGAGGACTAAAACACAGAAAAAAGAATTATTCACTAAGATTTATAGGGAATTACATAGGTCCTCTCTCATTTTATTAATAAAAGCTATCCTTTAAATGGTTTGAACAAGAAACAGAAATTACTATCTGACTTGCACCCAAAAAATAGTCAATGGTTTGTCCGATGTTTGTTGCTTGTGAACAGTGGTTAGCATATCACAAATAGGCAATGGAATGAAATTTTGAACAGTTGTTTTCATTGAAATATAATTAAATTCTTTTTCAATCATAAAACCACTTACTTTGGAAAAAAATTAATAAAAAGCGATGCTTTCCAAGAAGAGAATAAATATACTAGTATTTAACTTTACTATTTGCAGTCAAATTGAGTTTCTTTTAATCACCTTTGGACTGATGGAAGTTCAATCGGATCAATCAAGCTATCGAACTACTAATGTAAGATTAAAGGCAACAACAACCCCATATCACAGTCACGCTGTGCCTTCACTTGAAAGATGAAAACGAGCAGTTATCAAGCTCAAAAGTCCATTGAAACACTACAACTTTTGAGAGACCAAACCTGGACCTCAAACATGAGAGGAAAGATCAGGTGCCATGGAGGAGTAAGCATACCCTATCAACCTGTCATACCTGCAATTAACTCCTTGTTCTGATCGGGCAAATGGAAAAAATCCGTAAATGGTATGACTATTGAATTACTAATTTAATTAAGGTAAAATTCAAAAAACAACTTGCTGCAGGCCTCCATATCACAGTGCACTCTTGTCTTTACTTCTCCAACCTACATATATGATGTCATAATGGAAAAGGACGTCACGTCAATGCGGGCGTGAGCTGGTATTTCGGGAAGACATTCACTAACATTAACTTTACACATTATTTCAAGCTGCATGTAAAATATCAGAACTCTATTACAAAATACACGAGTCGTAATTGTGTGTTGAAAATTAATATGTCCAAATATATTAAAATGCTTGGCTTAAGGAGGTTGGATCCTGCTATCAAAAGTAATGAGAATTTTTTTATCAAGTATATTTTTAGAATCTGCACATATGGCTTAATTAAAAATCAAAACAAAAATTGGGCGTCAATGCACTTCTTTTGGCGCTATGAAGCATTTGAATATGACCTTTTTGCACTGTAAAATTACATCTAATCCTCCATTATTTTTATTGAAATAAAATATGAGAACAAACATAGTCTTTTTTAATCTTGAATAGACATATTAAAATTTGTGACACCAAAAATGTTTCAAATTACTTCGCATGGTCAGTCAATTATTTGACCTTTCTGCACTCAAAAAAGTTATTTTTCTGGCATTAAAAATTTAACAAGCAATAAAATCATTTGAAACAAGTAAAATTTTACTGAACTTAAGCAGAATGTTTAAAATTAACTTAAATAGTCAGATAAGAAAACTAAAAGTGGGTGTCAATGATGGTAATTTTTAGATATTACTAAAATTGTGTTAATTTTAAGCTAAAATGGGGCTATTTTTTTCTGGACATTCACAATAAATTTACTGTATATTTGTCAAAGATGATGACAGAATTCATGACATTTAATTTAATTTATAATTTAGGACCAGCATAAAACAGTTCACTGCACAAAATAACTCTGTGAGAAGGCTGCATGGAAAAATAGGGATCTAAACTAAACAATACTGTAAATACTTCGAAAGAGAAAATTTTAATTTTTTCTAAAAAAAAAAAAAAAAAAATCAGCCACAAAATCAGTTCCGCACTAAATGCTTTTGGTATGGAATTTAATCATGGGGTTTTAACGGAATATAATTTAATTGGCATTGTAGAGTCCAAATTTATTGTAAGGGCTAAAACATTTTGCAGAATTTTTGAAATAGAGGTTAGGAAAAAAATCTGCACAAAATCTCAGGAACGAACCTCTTTAATTACCCTTGATCGAAATTCAGAGTGTTCAAAATGCTTACGAAAGATATACTTTTGAAATGTATGCTATTTTATACAGTCATGTGCGTAGGGGTAGAGTCAAGAATGTATGAATAAACGAGTCTGGAAAATTAGATTAATCATGATTAATTTAAGATCTTTTGTGGAAATTTGCAAGAGGAATGTGTTTTCTACGGTGGCTGCTATAGGACATATGCATGAGATTTTTTTTTTGTTTTAAAATTCGTTCCCACGAAATAAATATTGTTCCTACGAAATTAAATTCGTTCCCGCGAAATAAAGTTCGTTCCCACGAAATAAAATTCTTCTTAAATTTCGTTCTCTCGAAATAAAATTCGTTCTCACGAAACAAATTCAATTTAATTTCTATGCTTATAATATAAGATGTTTGGCAGTACAACATACATGTATGCAACTGAGGTTGAATAATAGTTGTATTTTTAACTATTTTTTACCGGGGGGAGATGTAAATTACTATCTTATTGTACATATCTATGTTGTCATTTACTATTGCATTGAATAAGTCTACATTGTATATTACATCATTTAATTGGTCTAAAGATTTGCATGTCATGGAAAACAGAATCCGTACGTTGTGTCTCTCAAAACAATTTATGATATTTCTTCAAATATGTTGATTTAAAATGACACACTTTCTTCACCTAAGTGTACTTACTGCACACGAGTTTTTACTATTTAATCATACAAACTAACTTTTCCCATCATTAAATGCATAATTAAAATAAATAAATAAAATAATTCAATGTAGAATTTGTTATGGAGGCTGCAGATCTGTAGTGAAACCAAGGTTTCTTAAAATCCATCTTAAGTGTTGACCACTGATACTATACTGAAACGCAAAAGAAACGCAACAACCTAATTTTAGGGGGAAAATTATATACAGGGCTCAAAATCAACTTCCGGTAATGGAATGAAAATCATTCAACGTTAAATTACTGATTTGCATTGGCAAAATTGAAGATGTCCTACCTTTTTAA